CCTAGCCAACAGCCACCAGCCCCGTAAAAGTAACACCACAATCACCCCATGCCCCTTCCTATAAAACCCAGCACCTTTCCCCAATAAAGCGGATTTCTCCGGTGAATTGCTGCTGTGTGTCGCTCCTTTCCTTTCAGGAACTGATGTTGAAAACATAATCCAGAGTAGGTTGGTCAGAACTTACTACCTGAACCAAACCAGATCAGTTGCTTGCTAACAAAAATATCAACATTTTCCATGGAACTTAAACAAGATCCATAGTCTCATAACATAATATTCAAATGTCCAGAATACAACCCAAAAATGTTTTGGCATATGAGGAACCAGGAAATCTCAACTCATATGGGAAAAATAATCAATAGACATCAATGCTGAAATGATACAGAAGTTGGAATGATCAGAAAACAAAGCAGCAATTAGGAAAGTGTCATAAGTATGAACACACTTCAATGAAGGGAAAGATAAAAAGTCTCAGTACAGAAATAGAAAATATAAAGAACCAGATCGAAATATTAGACCTGAATAATACAATAACCAAAACTTTTTAAAATAATGGCATGATCTCTGTATTCATTTCCTACTGCTGCTCTAACAAGTTACTACAAACAGAGTAGCTTAAAAGAAATGTAGGGTCTTACACTTCTGAGGGCAGAAGTCTGAAATGAATCTTACAAGGTGAAAATCAAGATAAATATAAAGTTGCTTTTTGTGTATAGTATGAGGCAGGGGTCCAAATTTGTTCTTTTTCACATGGATAGCCAGTTATGCTATTCCCCCACTCAATTGTCTTGGCACCTTTGTCAAAATCAATTAACCATAAATGTTAAGGTTTATTTCTCTATTCTCAATTCTATTATCTTGATCTATACATTTGTCCTTATTCAAGTACTGTCTTAATTACTCTAGCTTTGTAGTAGTTTTGAAATTGGGAAGTCTAATTCCTCCAACTTCATTCTTTATTTTTGAGATATTTTGGCTATTTCTGGGTCCATTGCATTTCCAAATGAATTTTAGAATCAGTTGGTCAATCTCTGCAAAAACAGACAGCTGAGATTTGGATAGAGATGGTATTGAATCTGCAGATCAATTTGGGAAGTAATGCCATCTGAACAGTTTAAATCTGCTCCACCAACATGAATGTCTTTCCACATATTTACATCCTCTCTAATGCCTTTCAACAGTATTTTCCTTCCTTTTCAGTGTGCAAATCTCACACTTTTGTGTAATTTCTTCCTAAACATTTAATTCTTTTTGACGCTGTTCTGAATAGAATTATTTTCTAAATTTTCAGATTGCTCATTGCGAGTGTATAAAAATACAATTAATTTTTGCATTCTGATCTTGTGTCCTGCAATGTTCCAAACTTGTTTAATTAGCTCTTGATAGAATCCGTACCTGAGTACTGCCTTTTGAATAAGCCCACCCACCATCTCTGAGAGACCTAGGTTTCATCTTACTTAGGCTACAAGCATCTTCCAGAGGACACTTCAGCAAGCCACAAGCCACCTTCCCCTGACCCCTCCCATGAAAGAGCTCGCCAAAACCCTGGCCATAAAAAGCCTCTTGACCTGTTAGAGAAACTCTTTTCTTTGTTCTGCTGGCCAGGACAGAGGGGTGCCTCTCACGTTCAGCAATAAACCTCCTTGGACTGTTGAGTTCGCATCCCCTCTCTTCTTTCAGCTCTAATAGTTTTTAGTGGATTCCTTAGGATTTTCTAAAAGACCATGTCATCTGTGAATAATTTTACATTTCCTTTCCCATCTGGATGCCTTTTAGTTCTTCTCTTGCGTAATGGACCCAGCTAGACCTTCCAGAACAATCTCTACAACCTGTTTTGACTGCTCATAGACCTTCTTTGGTTCCTTGTAGATCTCAACCACGTTCCAAATGGTTGTATTTGCTAAATTAAGGACCTCTACATAGATAGGTAGGGTAGTCATGAGCTGACTTTCACAGAACTACTTGATTCTTATGCACATACTTTTCATAACCACCTCTTCTCATATTATATTCATTTCTTCTCCTTAGGAAAGTGTTCTTGAAGAAGTACCTTCCTTGTGGAATCAGATTCTATCTTATTTTTAATTCATTGCTGTTGCCAGAAAGTCCTATTAGTCTATATTTAAATTGATCTATCTTAACTCCATCAAGATTTCCTAGATTCAAAGTCAGAAGACCTGGCTTTAAGCAGGGCTCTGCCATCCACCAGCTATGCGATCTCCAGCAAGACAGTTTCCCTCTTAGCTCCTAATCCTCTTCTGCAAAGTGAGGCAGCTGAAGTAGATACCTCAGCTGAAGTCCCTCCCCATTCTAACAATTTATCATTTAAGAGTTCTAAAAACTTAATGAACGCCATGCCAGAGAGAAAGAGAACGAGAAGTTAAGATTCGTATGGGATAAAGGTCTAAGCTGCCTTTATTCTTTAGTAAACTATTAGTAGTTTACATAGTAAGGGGCTTTTAAGATAGATACACATAAGAGAAGGCCAGATTGCAAACCTTTGTTATCAAAGACACTTCTGACATGGCCTGAAGGGCTGAAAGCACAAAGGAATGCAAAGCAAACTTCCTTTGCCTAGGGTACAATCTAGAAGCTCAGAGAAGCTGCCTGCAAGAGTGAAAACTTACTGGTTTCAAAAAATCTTTATATGAGACGGGGGCAAAGGCCAATAGCCTTATGGTTGATCCTGGTCTTGGGAGTAGCTAGGTGGAAGCCATAAGGACTGTTTGTCTGAACTCCACCCTAAGTCTGAGACCTGATTCAGCCTGCGGATGTTTCCTGACAAGAAGCAAAACTTGAGCAAACGAAGGCCTCTGAACCTGTTTGCTCCAAAAAAGAGTTGAGACTATGAGAGTTAATAGTTCTGTTAGTGTAAGATAAATTCAAACCGAAATAAACAGGCAATGAGAGGCAACAAAGGGCCAGGCAGTTTATTTGAATGCAATACCGGGCAATGTTCTCCAGTCTGGCTAGCTACAGGTGGGGGGTGCGGGGGAGTCGCATGTAACTAGACATGTGGGGAGTTTTTAAAGAAGGTAGGGGGAGGCAGACTTACAGCACCGTGAGGATTCGCTAGCCTAAGGAACATTTTTCTGGTTGTGAGGGGGCAACAGCCAGGGACTTTGGCACGTCATCAGTGTCTGATGTGGAAGGGGGCAGCAGCCAGAGACGATAGCATGCCATCAGTACCCGAAGTGCTCACCCCTCCCTCCGGGGCCTCCACCTTACCGTTAGGAATTCTTTCCATTATGGAATACAACATTTTAAAGTATAGAAAAGTAGGAAAGCATACCAAATCCTACCACTTATACTTAGAGCCACTGTGGGTCTCAATTCTGCCTCTGTCTTCTGCACTGCCTGCTCCTCGAGACTTTCTAGAGCAATGTCCAGGACCACTTTGTGCTTTGACTGACTCCCTTGGGTGGCTGTGGCAGATGCTCTTGTTGTCCCCTATGCCCTGGCCTATCTGAGACCCCTGCGGTTGCAATAGACAGCTTTCAAATGCTGACAGCACCGCCACTCTGATACTTGAGAATTCTGACTGGTTCTCAAACCTGATTCTTCACCATTTTCATGTTCTCTGAAATCAGTTATTTACAAAGTCTGTGCTGCCATGCATATATTTGCTCTGTGTGGCTGCTCTTCCTTAGCAGCTATCCTAGGAAGAGGGGATTGGAGACAGTGGTGGACAGTGAAATATATGGGGCTGATTTTCTGCTCTAAGTACTCTGTGTATGTGTCAAGCATGTGAGTGCACGTGCAAGCACAGAGTTCAATCAACTTTGCTTTTTCAATTCAAAAAATACACGCCCAACATTAGAAAAATAACCTTTCAAACAGCACACAAACCTATCTAGACCCTTAATCTCCTTCCCCAGAAGCAACAATTGCCAAGTTTCTGACATATTCTTCCAGAAATGTTCTACGTATAAAAAGCACAGGTACCCAATATAGATTCCCTTTTTTACATAAAGGGGATCAAAATATACACTTTCAACTTCACCATATATATTGGGGTTCCTCTGTGTCTTGCCAGCCCTTCTCTGGAAATTTGCACCACTGAGCTTCTTTGCTTTGTATTTTTCCACAAAAATGTTCTGTGGTCAGGAACTCCCATAATTTACTGAACCCATCCCTTTTGAATGGACATTTTGGTTGTTCAACTCATTTGCTATCACAAAGAACTCTGCCTTGAACGTCCTTCTACATAATTTTGTATGCACGTGCAAGTACACTTTGTGAACACTGCATATAATCAGTATCTTGTCTTTTGATAATTGGTAGGTGACAGAGTATTTTTTTATTTCAGTTTGCATTTCTCCAATCCTAAGTTGGATGTCTTCATATGTTTATCAAACTATTGATATTTTCATTCCTATTTTTTGCCCATTTACTGTTTACTGATGTGTAGCTTTAAAAATTCTTGTTACGATAAGCCCTTTATTTCGTCACAGTGCTACAAGTATGTTTTCTTTTGTCTTTTACCCTTTTTTAAATTTCAAATTTAAAACTTTTTAGATAGTCTAATTTATTTCCTTTTTTGCTTTCCTGTTTTGTACCCTGCTTGGCAAAGCCGTCCTCCTTTCAAAATTATTTTGTGAAATTACTTGATAATTTCTCTGGTCTTCTTCCAGATTCTCTGTTACATTTAAGACTCTTGTCTATCTGGAGATTGTTTAAGGATAGCAATCAGCTCTGATGTGTTTTCTAACCCTGGGTCTGTGATCATGATTCGCTTTCCTGTGCGTTCCAGAGATCTAGATTTCCCTGTCACATTCAATAAGTGACTGAATGTGGATTAATGAGACATTGCTGGTTGTGGCCCAGGACTCCTAAGTCCTCTTCTGCTCACTGAATTTCTGGTCCAGACCCAAGGAGGAAAATGGGCAGTTCACTCTCACTGGGGCATGTGGGTTCCATGTGACCTGGAGGCTCATGTGACTCAGTCACAGGCTATAGATGCGACCTGGCTCACCTCCACTCTTCCCCCACATCTCATCTGTGCTCTGCCAGCTCTTCTCAAGAAATTTGCATCATGCCGCTGCAGAAGGCACTTGAGGACTGCTTCACTGAGCCATGGCCTGTGTGGCTGCCTCCATGCTCCTCCTGGTCATGTCTCTCCCCCAGGTCAGTCACCAATTGCCCGAGCAGCCCAACCTCTGAGTTATCCTGGAGTGAAGACAGGGGTATTCAAGCGGCGATGGCAGTGGTCTCTCAGTATGAAGGGCAGCAAGGTGTGGAATGAAAGGACAGGTAAAGGGGTAATGGATAGAGGGAGAGGAAGTAATGCATAAAAAACAAAGAGGCTGGTTTGTTATAAGATCTCGAGACTTCAGTGTTATTTTCTATGGTTTGGTGAACAGCTTTTGTTTCTTTATTTGAGTCCCTGTGAACTCCAGGGATGCCAGCTACACTTTGGATAAAGGCTTTTCCAGTCAAGCCTGCAATTTAAAAATTAAAAGAAAAACTTTCCAAATTTGGGACCCACTGGTGTAGAGGACAGGAAAGAATCTGAAGACAGGCATGGAGTCTAGATTAATACTGATTTACATGTTCTCTCAGGTGGGTCTATCTGTCTCCTGTCTATACCATATCCTTATCTATGTGCATATCTGTTTTTAGATACATACCCACATGCACATGCAATTTTGAGAAAGGAAGTAGTGGTAAGGAAATAATGGGAAAGGGGGGCTAAAGGAATGTGCTGCCTTCTGTTCACCCTCGTGGCAATTCCTATTGGGGGAATAGAAGTCCCCAAGTCCCTGGGCCCCAGCCAGCTCTGCCAGCCCTCCCCACGGGAGCTCCGGACCCAGCTGCATCAATTAGCCTAGAGGCCCGGGGACAGGTAAAGTCAGGAAGGAATTAAGCAAAACATATTGACTCTGCCGCGTGTGCCTGGTTCCTGGGTTCAGAGGAGATTTGCAGGCCCTGATGGAGTCCCTGGGGCTGCATCGCTGGTACTTACTACCAGAAGACTAATGTCTCCCCTTTGCTGTGTCCGCTTGATACCAGGCAGAAAGATGAGCTTCAGAGAGATGGAGTCACGCCAAATTGGCCATGCTGAGCCGTGAGCCACCTGGGGAAGAAAGTGTCCCTGGGAGAAACCTGGGGTCAGCCTCTCCTCAGAGGGCTCTCCTCTGTGCTCTGTTCCAGGGACAGAGTCAGGCTGGAGGGGAATCTGGGAAGCGACTAGACCAAGAGACTGAAGCAGGTGGTGAGTGGACAGACAGGAGGGGCTGAGCGGGAGCAGGGTACTGGCGGGAAGAAAGGACAGGAGGGATCTGGGGGCGCGGGGGTTAGAGAGAGCACCAGACCTGGCACAGGTCCAGCAGGTCCAGACACCAGTTCTCTAGCTGTGAAGCTGTGAGAAAGCCATCCGTCTCTGAGAACCTTGTCTATAAAATGAGGCTTGCTGGGAGGCTGGCAGTAGTCTGAGTGCACTGCAGCAGGGGGGGCCATTTCCCCCCTGAACCTTACCGGCTCCTCGGCAGGCTATTGTGGGGTGAGGGTGTGGGGGTGTGCTCCAGCTTCCTGGCCGTGACCAGCCATGTGTGCAAGGCAAATGTGGCCTTGCTGCCTCTCCTCTCCACCTGTGCCCTCTGCTCTTATAGACTCAGTCCTGGTCTTGGTCCATGCAGAGCTGGACTTTGCAAATGAGGCCTGGCTACTGGCACTCTCCAGAACCCCGACTATCCCCACCGCCTTGGCCTCTTCTCCATCAAGAACTCTGACTAGCCTCAGCCTCACGACAGGTAGGGAGAAATTCTACTGCCCCTGCTTCTCGGCGGCTCTTACACCACATCTGGGAGGAAGTGGGGGTCAGAGAGAAGGGAACAAGGCTTCCCAGGTGTCCCACCCACTGCCCTCCACTGCCCTTTTCAGGCCAGCTCTCCTGAAGCCCCGAGAGTCCCTCCTATTTCCTGGAGCATCTGCACGGCCCAGTTCTCTCCTCCCTTCCCCACGCTACAGACCTTTCCTCTCCTGCTCCACGTCCCCATCTTCTAAACTTTGGCAGAGTCCCCAGGGGCAGACAGTGGTGGGCTGGACTTCTCTATCCCCTCCCCTGATGACTTGCCCGGTAGGACCTCGGAAGCTTTGAACCCTGGCTGAGGAGGCAGTCCCTGATGGGGTCGTGGTGGGGTGACTGGGTCACCTGTGACTTTGGGGTTGTCCCAGATGCCCAGTCCTACACCCTCTCAGGTGTAGGGAGTTGTAGGTCCTGCCTGCCTCGTACTGCCTGCCCCCTTCACATCCCCTTCCCCCTGTCACAGAGTGTAACGTCCACCACGGCAGGGGGACCTCTTATGCCTGCCTCTCTGGGTAGCAGTGGAACACCAGTGTCTGCTCCCGTCACCGTCCCTGCCAATCCTCCCACAACCACCAGCCCTGCAGCTGTCTTGTCTTCAGCCGTCCTGAAGCCGGGTACTGCCAGCTGCTGCCACCTGGTGAGGAAGGTTGGGGACTTGGAAACCAATACCAAGAGCGAGAGAACCCCTCTCTGTGTTGTTTTCCCCTCTGACCCCTGTATTCTGCCAGCTGGTACAAGCCCAGCAGCTCCACTTGGTGGGAGAAAATCACAGGACCCGAGCTCGGGACCTGAGTAGTGAGACTAATGGACAAGAAGACTCTGGAGACATGTGGACAAGGAGAGAAAGTGCTGTAGTGACATGGCCCTTGACCCCAGCGGTCCCATGTTACCTGGGGGGACAGGGAGTGATAGGCCAAAAAGGTGGCATTTGGTTCCCAGTAACAGATAGGGTCTTCCGGGCTGGGCTGCAGTAGCCGCACTCACCCAGGAACAAAACAAACAAATCAGGCTAGGAGGGGAGAGGGGTGAGGAGAAACAGGCTCAGATGATGAGGAAGGGGTGAGACTCAGCTGCCCGGAGAGCCACTGTACCTGCCAAGGGCCCACTGTCTCCTGCCACCCTGCAGTCCCCAGAACCCTGCTCCTGAACTCCTGGCTACAGATGCCTGGCAACACGCTGAACCTGACCTTCCTCACCAGCCATGAGACCACCGACCTGAACTGGCTCCTGTGGCGCACAGGGAACTGCCACCCCGTCCTTCTTCAGCCAGTGTCCCGGGTGTCCCTGACATCTCGTCCAGGCCTGGTTGTCCTCAGCATCTTCAACATCTCCCATGAGTGGGCAGGTAGCTGGGCAGCCCTTCCCTCCTCCTCCCTCTCTTCTCCTTCCCTCTACTTTTGTCTCTTCTTCCTGCCCTCTTCATCTTTCCATTTATTCATTATGGGGAACGAAGGCTTAGGGGCCCATTGATGTGAAAAATTATAATGAGAAAATGCTGAAAATCTGGGCTCAATTTTGCCTGAGAGCAGATGTGTTTTTTTCAAGAGGCTGAACTGGAGAGGCTGGTGCAGGAAGGACCTCTACTGGCAGGAGGGAGGTTCATCTCAGAATCCAAGGCGACAGGCTAATAGTAAAAAAGGGTCAGGAGCTCCTTCTCCAGATCTCTTCTTCCTCGCAGGAATCCTCTTGGGGGCAGGGATCTTTCTTGCTGGGGTTCAGCAGAGGCTGGACCAACAAGGCAGACCTTGGGCGTGGCTTGGGAAGCAGCAGATTGAGTGGCAGGGGTGGGGCCAGAGCAGCGGGAGGTGCAGCAGCTGTGTGTCTGCAGGCAAGTACCAGTGCTGCTTTGAGGCCCAGAGATTCAGGTGGGAGCTGTACCACGTGGTGAGAGTGCCCCTGCAGGCGACAGACGTGGCTCGGCTTCCAGACCAACTGTCCATCTCCTGTGCCACGTCCCCTGACCTTCAGCTGAGCTGCTGTATTCCCAGCACACACCCCACCTACGTGGTGTCCTGGAGCCCCGGAGAAGGCAGTAAAGGTATGGAGAGGGGCCAGTGCTTGGGGGTCAGGAGCTGGCCTTCCAGCTCACAGGACACAGGCTGCAATTCACCCTGGAGTCTGGGGCCAAGACCAACTCTTTTTAGTCCATACGGCAATCCCAGCTCTGTTGATACAGAAATAACCAACGAGTACAGATAACTGTTTGCAAAATATTCCATCCACACCGTCTCGCTGAACTCTCACAAGACACTTCACGAGGGTCGTTTGGTGACAGTGTGCATTTCACACATGAGGAAGCTGTGGCTTCAAGTTCTGGGACTAGTCAGAGACCCCCGGGGTGCCGTTTACCAAAACCCGGGTTCTTCCTCCTGGAGTCTGATGCCCATGTACTCAGCTCTTCCCTGCTGCTGCATCTGCTTCTGAAATTGCTAGAAAGACTGGAAGAGCATCCCTGGGCCTGCTGGGATGTAGGTGTGTGTGGGGGCCCGGCCTACGGCCGAGGCTGAGCCCTACTCTAGCTGGACAATGCCCTAAAGATGGCGCCTGCTTTCTAGACTCCACCCTTCCTGGCCCTACAGCTCACCGCATAAGGAAGTCTCCATGATTGGCTTGTCCCCATTTCCATGTTCGTGTTCATAGCATTCTTTTCACATGCTTCCAATAAGACTGAACCTGGCACGTGATCAGTCAGCTGATTTGTTGGGATATGCTATATAAGCTGCTGCTCTGGAGGAAGTGGTGGTTGTTGTTTTTTGCTTTTGCCTTTCGCTAGATGGATGCTCGGACGCCCATAATAAAGATTCCTAATGAACCAGGCCTTCGGTGATCATTCTCCTGCCGTCGCCCTAGATGGCGGGACACGATAGCTGGTGTCGAAACCCGGGATTAAAACCTGGTGTCCGAGGACGGAGTGGAACTTCTCACCCTGCAGCGATCCGAGTGGACACCGTTTGGAAGAGTTACACAAGTGACTGACATTTTGGAGAGTGGTGAGTATGGTCAGGGACAAAGTGAAAGCAACATTAGGTCGTGCGAATGCAAGCAATTGTGGTGTGTGTGTCTAGCCTTTGTGTTCCTTGTCTTGTTCTGTCTTAGTCTGTATATGTTTCTGCATTTCCTCACGAAAGAATAAGAGCGCTGTGGAAAGTTTGCAGGTAAAGTGACGTAGACTAAAGTTCGCAGAAAGCGACGAAAACCAGTTAGCGAGGACTCTCAGGCTGTAAGGAGACTCAATTCAGGGGTACGAGCGCGGGCGCACATAACCTCAACTTAGAATAGAGTCAACCTCCTTTCCTCTGCACTATGGGTTCAGAGGTGTCTAGGATGCGGGCGGAGGAACCACTCCAGGCACTCCTAAGGGCTAATGGAACTCCATTGAACGATCTGTGCAAAGCATATCAAGCGGAACCGCTCCCGGTAGGGACAATTCCTATATGGAGTCTAGTCAGGGGGTGCCTTAAGGAGGATAAGCCAAGCTGCAGAGAGGCTATAAGAGAGGGGGGATGAAGTCCTGGAAGATGTCCGGGAGGAAAGATCCTCCGCTAGGACCTCAGAGAGGGGGTCCGAGCGAGGAGGATCTACAGACATGTTGATGGGCAAGGGTCCATATTTGGGTCAACAGAATCAGGTAGGATTCCCCCCAGCGGTATATATGCAAATAGCCACGGCATCAGTGAGGGCCTGGAAGATGCTGCAAGGCACAGGTGACCTACAGGGTCAGCTGTCAAAGGTGTTGCAAGGATCTAATGAGCCATATGCAGACTTTCTAGCCAGACTGATGCAAACAGCCGGTCGCATATTCGGTGATGTTGATACTGCTATGCCCCTTGTGAAGCAGCTGGCCTATGAGCAGGCCAACAAATGGTGTAGGGAGGCCATAAGACCCTGGAAGAACAAAGATCTGAGTACTTATATTAAGGTTTGTAGGGACATTAATGACAGCGTGGTGCAAGGACAGGTTATGGCCGCA